TCCTGTGTCTGGATGACCCTTTTCTGTCTGTCTTTTCCGATTATGTTGTGGATATTGGGCTTTTGGTTGTTTCTTTTTTTTTCACTTAAGCTCGTCATGCAGGCCATAATTTCTCTTTCTGAGCTGTTGAGTGGTAACTGGCTGACCCACAGAAGTAGGAATAAAACAAGAACTCTTCTGCCATAGTAAGAAATTCTTACATTTATGACGTCTTCTCTAAATAGCAACCAGCTTGTTTCTAACTTCTAGCACTGTAGTGAAGGGGATTTTAATATACAAACCTTCACCGTGGTTCAGTTAGATGGAGCTTTAGTAAAATGATTGTCTTCCTCCCTCTGCCCCCAACCAGATCTCACACCATGGCTAGAAAATAGTGCCTTCAGCAGCCTTTTCCAAGTTGTTTCATTTGTTTACAGAGTGCACCAGAGTGCTACTGGGAATGCAGGGTGAAATGTCAAGAAGTTGTGTGTAAATCTTTCAGTAATCTGTCATGTCCAGGAGGAACTGGGGGAAAGGGGCGGATCTGTGGGAATACTGGAGGGTATCAAAGCTAGAGTTTTGCTTCTTGGATTTGGAGATCTCTCCCTACAGAATGAATGGCTCTGGAGTCTAAAAGAAGACACCAGGAAAGAAAACCGCTGCCATTATAAATACACACACTAAGGCAAATAAGCCTAGGATGAAGCAACATGTGAAGGATTTCTGGAATAACAAGCTGCTTAGGCTAAAACCTCATAAGAGGTTTGGTTTGGGTGAAGTATATAGGCCTGTACAGGTGTGTATATACAGGGATAACACTGCAGAGGACTGCTTCCATCCCCAAGGCTGGGGACTGCTGTCCTCAGGTAAGGCAGGTTGCTGGTCCTGCATAAAACAGGGATGTTAATTCTTATTCCTTTGACCCCGGGTGGTCGATAGCCCGCACTACTAATGGTGGCAAAAGGTGTCCGTTTGGCAAAATTATAAAAATGATTTTTTTCTTTATTACTCTGTCTTTTGAATTCTTAAATGTTTCTCTGCTGTTTGTGAAAAAGCAAGTTCTCACTAATTAAAAAAGAAATTACATAGCTGGATTGATTTATGTTCCTTATTAGAGTAATAATTCATCTGTAATGGGGTTAGGTCAATTCATAAAATTATAAATCTGGGGGAGAAAAGGTCTCGACTCTTTCCCACGGTAAACATTTGTTCATGTTTGAAAGTTCTTGTTTACATTTGTGCAGAGTCATTATTTGGTAGTAAAAAAGCAATGTGGAGAAGTAATACTCTTAGTGTTAGCATGCCATTGTATCTTTTACTTGCACTCTGATGATGTTCAGTGTCATCAGAGCTCCTCCTCATACCTTTGTATGTGCATGCATCTGTCATCCCTGCTGAGTACAATAATAAAGACACTGTATTTTTTATTTGATTGTTTAATAATGCAAGTATTTTTGTGGGAGTCTGTCTAACAAAACCTGTTTGTATGCTTATAGCCTTCTGACACCACAGTGAGATTTCAAATGAAGATATATTAATGTGCATTACAAGCGTGTGATTGCTTGTGTCATTATGAAATAGATGAAAAATTAGTTCACTGCAGTAGTTTTTATCTGAACTGATCAAAACATCTCCCAATGATCTTTCTAACAATATGCGATTGGAATAACAACTTCACATGTTGTAGAGTCCCGTGCTGCAGCCAAGAGGCATGTAAATACAAGCTGCTTGTTTGCAAGAAGCTTCCAGATTTGCAATATGATTGCTATGGAAACCACACAATGAAAACCTTATAACCATCTGTGTGTTTTGGTGGATTTTGCTGCATAGCTGAGCTGTTTTTGTTTACTGTGATTAAAGTGTTGAATATATTAACCCACAAACTGGGATTATCCAAGGTATAAACTAGTATTGTGCAATGACAATGTGTCAGAGACTAGAAGACAGTAAAATAACAATTAATAATGACATTAAATTAGAGTCGAATGTAAAAAGATGCTTAAGTAATGTGTTAGTAGTGGAAACTGCGAAGTTTATGCATATTTATCATGGAGATACCACATTCCATTGAAGGAATGCACTGTTCAAGCCAAACTTTTACCCATTTTATACTCAAGTAGCCTGATCTTTTTTTTATCCCCTCTCCTTTTAAGAAAAAGAAATTCGAATTAAAAAAAATGGATTCATGTAAAAAACTCAGCTAGTGTAGAATTCATTGTTCACTTCTTAAATTGTGTGGATGGTAGAATCATGTCTGATTGGGTGACTGCAAATTAAGCAAGTAAATAATTTTCAACAGCTTTCATGGACTGACGGAAAAAATCCTTAACAAGTATAGTTAGCTCCCTGTTGCACTGACACCAAAAGAATTTTGTAGGTTTGCCATTAGTATCTCTGAATACCAGCAGGGTATGGAATATAACCTGTATTTTAAGTGTTCTTTGGGTCTGCAGTTCTAGAGGAGTTCACTGATTTGATTAGTGTTAATTACATATTGATTTAGGATGTAATAGCAGAAAACATTAAGAACCATAGGTTCTTTTCTACCAACCTAAGCCAAGCCTATTACCTCTGCTCCACTGTGAGCATGATTGCATTAGTTAAGTAGTGTGGACCATTTGCAACAGATTCATAAAGCACAAGTTTGTGCTGAAGACCTGATGTTTGTGCTGTGCATGTTTCAGAAGAGGTTTTCTATGGATTCACTTTAGTCTGGTTCCATGGGCTGAATGTGAATAGGCAGCTGGACCATGTTCAGTGTGCTTCCGGAGTGCCTCTTCTAGTCTAATTACACCTGAAAGTTTGTCCTCTCTGTGCAGCTCTATAGTGTAAATCGAAGTGGTATAAGTGGGGATGGCTGGGGTCTGAACAGGTATGATAATATGGGCAGCCTTTGTTTGAATTGTTTTGTTCAGAGCACTGGGTGACATGGTTTAGTGTGAGGTGTCCCTGCCCATGGCAAGGGGATTGCAACTAGATGATGGAACTAGATGATCTTAAGGTCCTTTCCAACCTGAACCATTCTATGATTCTATGATCTTAAGGTCCTTTCCAACCCTAACTGTTCTATGATTCTATAATTTGGGACCTTTCCAGTATTTCCATATATTTCCTTGGTTCAGACTTTTTTTCCATTTTCAGATATGGATCTGATGACCTCTTGTTTCTAGGAAATACATTTTTCAGGAAGGGGAATGCATATATTCTATTTTTTTCCATGAAACCACAATGCAGTCTACATGTATTCAGCTGTATCTTATGAAAAAAAAATCAATTCTGCTGTTACTTTGGTTAAAATATCCTCTACTAAAGTCAGTCCTCAGTTGAGGCTAATCTGATGATCGTGAGTTAAAATCCACAGTACATTCAACACATCAGTTGATGTGTGTCCAAATATTCAGTAGCATGTAACATCAAAATTTATTTAATCAATGTAATACTCAATACTCTGTGTTGAATGCAACTGGGTTGTTCTGGGAAAAGGGAGCAATCCTAGAAAATGTAACTGATGATGGACCTGTGAGTGGTGTTGCAGTAGTAGGGAAGCCACAGAATGACAGTGCCTCCTAGTGCTCTGGACAGCGCATACGGGTGTATTTTTGCCATTTATACTCCCAGCTGTGAGTGCTTAAAATAAACGAGTGTACTTGGGAATGTGCAACAAGTGTTATGCCAAGTGGGGGAATACATTTGAGCGCAGTAAATAGTTCAGAGTGTTTTTTGTGCTGTACTGCAGCTTCACATTTTCCCAGCTCTATTGTTTTGTTTTTCCTCCTTCTTCCCTTGGCTATGATATATATTGATCTTAACCAGATTTTTAGTTGTTCAAGAGTCAGAAACCAAAAAACTCTTGCTGGTTTAGTAGGGCAGAATTTCAAAGCTCTGTAGAGTGAATCTCATGATGTAATTTGTAGGACTGTGTACATAGTTTAGCAGCAATAATGCATACTCATTTCAACAGGTCTGCTCTTGTGCTTTAAACATCTGCTTTAATGTTTGCAGGAACAGTCTTGTGGATAGATTATTTTTTTACAAGGCTAAAAGTCCTTTGAACTGTTGATATAAAATTCACTGTTTGTCAAAGTAGATAGGCAATTACACAGGAAGTTTTACAATAAGGAACATTTTAAAAGCTGTGAGTTCTGTATCTTTTGTCTGTCATTAATAAAATATCAAAATTAGTTGCTGAAATGCATGTCTTAAAATGAAGCATGAATATCTGTGTAAGATGTGAGGAGTATAAAAGCCAAATGCTTTAAATGTATTAAAAGCTTAATTCTTCTTTGAGAAGTGGATTTATCAGTATACTATTTCTTCATTCAGTACAGCAGCTTTGTCAGTTTTGATATACTGTAAAGGCCAAGATAAATCTGTTTCTATTTCCTTATGAACATAAGGAAAGAAAACAGCTAAAGCCCCTCATACTTTGTGCCCTTCTTTTTCCTCATCAACAGAATTGTTGACTGTGAAATGTAAGGAACAGGTCTTATGTCCCTTTACTGAGTGGAATATGGATTTACTTAAGTGATGGTGTGGGCATGAGAGAGTAGTTCCCTGTCTGTGCTGGACAAGGAATATGGAGAACATCTTTTGAAATTGCCTGTGGGGATTTCAGTGTTCCAGGTCTGTTAGCCAGAAAACACGCTTCAGAGCTGTGATCCTCAGTTTAGTTTTCTTTATCCTGGTAAGAAATACATGTAGCAGAATAGGACCCTCACTCTAATTGCCTCAGAATGAATGAAACCCAGCAGATCTGTAGCTTTATATTTACTGTATTCAGAGCAAAGTGAAAAGGGAAACAGATGTTCACAACTGAGATTTTGAAAGAAAGCTCTTGGAGTGTTTGGATGGGTGGGGGAAACCACAGAAATAACAGTGTTCCAACTTCTGTACAATGCAAAATAGTAAACAGGGCTTACAGTCTGGAAATGTAGAGTGTAGCTTTCAGACTGATGCAGGCTGTAATTCCTGTCAGCTGAGGTGTCCCTTCGGAGTTTCATTTGCAGTTATATGTTTTGCAGAAGAACATATTCCTTCAAAGGCTGAAGTGCCAAGAAAACTGATCCAGGAGAAAGTTACCACTGTTTCAGGTAATGAAAATATTTCCTCTTTTTTTTTTTTTTTGTGTGTGTGTAATGCACTTTCTTTTTACCTTTATTTCCTTGTCTCTTCCCTTTGCTTTGTTAAAATAATGTTTTTATAGCTCTGTAAAGCTGTCTTTTTCATCTGGGTATTTGATGGCAGCAAAACTGCTTAGCACCACTTAGGATGCATGAAAACCACTTGAGAAGGATTTATAAAGTAAGCCAATTTATACAAGGTATTCCTTCCTGAATTACTTTGTAATGACTCAATTAGCTTTCATTTCTGCACAAAGGAGATTTAGTTGCATAAATTAGCTTATCATCATTGAGGAAGTGTCACTGCTAAAGGACAGTTTATAGATACAACATGCAGTTGCTGTCAAACCTATAAGAATCTAATATAGACATCTGTGTATACTTTGTGCTTGAGCAGAACAGACTTCTGCCATTCAGAGACTAACAGGGGACAACAAGTTGCCCAAGGGACTGGCAATGTAGACGTCTCTGAAAAGGTCAACTTGACACAGGCTCTGACAATCGACCCAAAGCTCTGTCTTCTTTGATAAAAATCAGATAAACTTAAGACCACTAATTGATCTGCAGCCTGTTTAAATGTTGGCCATGCATATCTTCAGTGCATATGATTACCACAGAAAGCAAATGAATTGGGTAAGAAATGCCAGAGTCCAGTGACAGCAGCATAAAAATTGGAAAAGGACACAAATGCCCAGAAAGGCTGTGAAGGATGTTCTCTCAGCTTTAGCTTGGCAAACTGCCCTTGTGCTAATTATCTCTGGGACTGGAAAAATAATACCCCATGTAAAGTCACATGGCCAGACAACTTTTCTTGACAGAAAGGTATTTCCAGTTATGCTTAAAAACAAGATATATTTGTGCTTCAAGGGCACAGACCTCTAGATAAACTGTTGGCGATTTGACACAGCAAGTAGAGAAGACTTGCTTCTTATCAGACCTTAAACCTTTTTGAGATCTGCTGCATTGTAACCGTGACCTGCACTGACATGCAAACTGGCTCTCCTTCCCCCATCGTACTTAATACACATAATTCTTTCAGGGCTGTCAAGGAAAGGGTGGGCAAGAAGAGTTCCTTTAGGAAGTAGCTCTCCAGTGCTCTTCCTGTTGCAACATGTGGAGAGGAAACAGAGGCCTGATTTCCTGAGCCATACAGGAAAGCAGGAACAGGTTGCTGTGAGGAGTTTTGGGTTGCTTTTCTTGGAAAGGAAACAAGAACCAAGTCATCAGATGCTGTTAGCATTGTGCTCTGCTAAAAACATGTGTAAACCAACATGACTCATTACAGCCTTAATATTTAGTACTTATTTAGACATTACTGTAATTATAAGTGTGATGTCATATTGGAGCATGGGGTCAATCCAATTATAAAGTTGCCAGCAGCATTTTTTTTTTTTCCACTAATATATCTTCTTGGAGTTCCTACTTTTAGGAAATCAAAACCTTAGCATCTTCGTTTCTGAAAAGTTTCAACTGCTATAAGAGCAGCCTTACCAGTCTTTCTAGTAGTTGTGTAATGTGTTTGAAAATACCAGTTCTCTACAGATACCAATTTCATTTCAAGAAGTAATTTTCTGATCTGATCTTACTTAGTTAACTATTTAACATTGGAAATTTGTTTGACTTTTAGGGCTCAGTTTGCATGAATATTTCTGATAGGCATCACGTAATAAATATGTAACTTGAATCAGTAATATTTCATGATTTTCCACACAAGCAGTGCATACATTCTCAAGTTTAATTTATTGCCTAAATTTATTAAACCTGAAAATATTCTGCAAATTGTTTTTGAGCTCAACCTGTTAAGTGCAAAACCTTTCTTTTTTTCCTACTCTTTTCCTGCCCTAACTTAATGTGTACTTCAGTTAATGTGCAATGATGCTCAAGTCTTGATACTGATTGTGGCTGCTGGATAGCTTTATATGAATTGCTAGTGACCTAACTATTTAAATATACCAAAGCGTTGAAGAGTTTCAGTTGTATAATATAGTTTGCTGGACCTTTTTTGATATCACTATCTACCCATTATCATTTCCATAATCACTATTTCAGTAAGTGTCCTTTTCTGTGCTGTCTCAGTGTAAATGATTTTAGAGTAACTAAGGACCAGTAGGAGAGGGTAAGTGAGAAAGATTATACTGAACAAATAAGGCTAGATTAGATGTTACGTCCGCATAAATACACTGCAATTGTTTTCCCCTTATTTCATAATTTTTCTGGAATGTGGGAGAAAGGGCAAGTAAGTAAGTAACAGGCATTCTTTGCCATTTAGGACATCATCAGGACAAACAAGTAACTGTTCTTTAACAGAGCATGTCTCATCTGGGCATTAAGACTCAACACTGACAGTCTAAATCATTTGTGTAAGACACAGTCATTCTGGTACTGTTAATTCTGAACTTCACCTGTCTACCCACCTTTAAGCCTCCAGTATGGTAAATACTGAGCATATCATCTCTAAAAGAGGATACCATTCACCTCTGTCAAATATTGTTCCTGTGTCCAGATTCATAAACTTCAAATCTGACGCTGTAAACTTTTGAAGAATCTGATCAAGGGTCAAGGAATATGATTCAGAATAGCAAGCTGTTTAATATACTGGGCATTGGACCACAGTGGTGAAAAGAAAGCATGTATACATGTTCATTCCATAAGCAATGCGTAAGCAGGTAATATAACTCTAGCTCTAAGTCACTACTGTTGTAGGGTTTGCTAACAATGTTAAAATGGAAGGTGAGTGGAAATCAGGCACAGTCACATTTGTTCTAATGTTTTAAGTAGTGCATTTCTGTATTTGGGCTATAATTCCTGATTTTATTTTGGTCAGTTTAGTGTTCTGACAGGTTTGTGCTCAGAAATGGCATGTGCCAAAATTGTCAAAAGGTAGGGGTCAGGAATGGAACAGCCTGCAGATAGATTGCCTCAGGCTGCAATGGGACAGCATACTTAAATTGCTCTGAAATAAGTACTCTTAATCTGCTGTTTTTTTTTCCCCAGGGTTTGTTTTTGTCTGTCTATTGAGGCTTTTAGAATATTCTTATAATTTTGATTTCCCTTGAATAATCCACGGGTACTCTTAAGTTTTAAACAGTCTACAAGATTTGAAGAGTATGCTTGATGATACTTGTCATATTTCTTCAAGCATTTATTGTCAGGTGCCAGTATGTTTCAGTGAAATATGCAGGCTGTACCTACTGTCAGAAAGGCTGGCAGCCATTGCTGTTTGATATGTCAAATAAACTCCGAAGTGTTTTCATCAGTATGTTGGAGAAAAATATCTGTTTTTCCTATTACTGTTGCTACTGGAAAAACAGAGACGACAGAAGAAAACCATGTAAGGAATTCTTTATGGAAGAGTTTTGGAAACTGTTGGATAGTTCATCTAGATATCTGTCCTGGAATGAAAAAAGTGTTTCCTAACCTATCCAAAATCCTGCTCAGTCATTTCTCGTGATTGGTAATATTAAAACCAGTGGGTAGGTAAAACCAAATTGCTTTCTACTCGCTGCTACACATTTAAATTTTCTTTGGTCTTGTCTTACTTGTATTTGTGGCATAAGTGATCATGCCTTCAAAATACTACAGGCTTTAGTTTAGTAATTACATCATCATAGTACGTTTAAGGCACACAACATTTCAGAGTGTGTAAAAATAGAATGTAATTGTGACAGAATAATGCCAACAAATCAACACCTTTTGAATCTGAACTGTAATGGGCACTTAAGTTCTAGATGCTAAATCCACCAGCTGTTTTCAGGTATTGCATGTGTTTAAGAAGGCCCACGTAATTTCATTACTGTTATAAATGCCAAATTCCTTTACCCAGGTCTCCTGGTTCTGATTTCTTCAGTTCTGCAGAGGCAATCAAATGAAATTTGGCAGGGTCCTCCCCAGCTGAAAGAGGGGCTGAAGTAAGAAATAATGGGCTTGTGTTTTGCAGAGTTTTTTTTTTGCAGGTTTTTTTTTGGTTCTACCTCTGTGTTTGTGAAGTGCTGTGAATCATTTTATGAAGTATTTTTCCCTTTAGATGTATAGATTCTGGAGTTAAATTTACAATTAGCTTTTATGCGTGCATAGTTGCAGTTAAAGAATTTTGAGAAACTTGTGCTGGTGGGTACAAGATAGGATTTCAAATATGAAATTAAACCTTGTTGGAAGACCAGCACAGTTGTTCACAAACTTGCACTGGCACTTCCAGTCCTTGTCATTTCTGTGCTCCCAGTATACTGGTATATGTTTTTGCTAGAAATGTGGCTTTCTGATTTAAACAGCTCTGTCTTGTGTTGAATTCACAAATGAGGGCACAGAACCATGGTTAATCTTTAGGCAACATCTTCATTGTTGCAGTAAGCTTATTTCAAAACACAACTTTTCCAGTGGTGCTATGTTGTTAGTTGAGTTGCTTTCTCACTTTAAGGCTTAATTAAATGCTCATGATGAACATCTAGGGAGAGATGTGTCTCACCTGCTGTGGGATCTCTTCTGTTGCTGATGTTCCTCATGCAACTCTCAAGTGTTAACAGGAGGTACTTTAGGCACACAGAGGTAAGAACAGAACTCAGAGTAGTAAAGGTCAGAGAGAAAAATCATTATTCATTTAATTTCAGTTCTGAAGAAGTAGAAGTCCTGATTAATGTGTTTTAAACCAAATCTGATGAAAGATTTGAAAGGTAGGATATACCAAAATAGCTCTTTTTTTTCTCATGTGGCCTTCCGTTATCTTTTATGGCATAGAACTGGGAACTGGGATCAGTGCAGTATCAAAAGACTGAGGAGAGGTTTGATTTAATACTCATCACAAATGAATTTGGTGTTAGCCCGTGTTACTCTTTATAATTATCTAATGCTAAACTGATGAATTATGAACTGACAAATAGGAAGGACCAAGATTTGGAGATGTAAAGTTTCAAACTGATTCCACCATCCCCTTGAAATAATCCTGCCTATTCATTTTGCAATAACCAAATATCGCATTTCTAAATGGTTGGGAGTTTCTATGTACGTGTGTATTGCTGCTTTTGGTGTGGTGAAAGGAATTTGTGCACTGGTAGCACGAACGCCCCCTAGTGCTATATAGCAAGAGGCAGCTATTAATCACCAGTTTATGGAAAATTAAAAAGTGGCTAACTTGCATAGCAACTTTAAATTCAATATGTAAATATGTAGCAGTATGACAGTATTGCCATCAAAAGAAGACAGAAAAGAACATGGACTGAAATCGATAAATAGAAAACAAGCCCTTCTTGCTTATACAGGGAGTATTAAAGTCTCTATCAAAGCAGGAACAACAGTACTGCCTTTTTTTTTTATAGCGTGACACTTTATATGTCTTGATACTTGATATTTTAGCAGGATTTTTTCAGTAATAAAGTGAACCAATCGTGATTAAATTGTAAACTATAAATAATGATGTAGAGTGCTAACGATATGCAAATGTAACTAGTATATGCTGGAATAACCAGCAAGCCTGCTGTTCAAGGATCATATAACAAAACTAAGATGACAGCCTTGATCCAGCCAGTTCAGTGATATTTATGTTATCAGAATTAGAAGATAGCTTTCCAGTGATGTAAATTATTAGTACATATACATTCTGTCTGGTTAGTGTATACATAATGTAACTGGTCATCTTAGTGGTATTGCTTACATTCTTTTTACATTAACTCATCACACTCCATTCTCATGGAATTAAAAACAGGAAATAGTTTGCAGTGTAACAGAAGCAGCCAGTGTATTTAACCATGTGCAAGCGCTGTGTTTCAGTAGATGTGCTCTGTATTGTAAGTGTATGACAAAGCATTTATTACTGTGTTATTGCCGTATTACAGAGCAAAGAGTGCTAAATAATCAATCAGTTAATGGTCTGTATGGCAGCTTGAACACAGCACATCCATTGTGCTTATGCTGTTAGAAGGATGAGTTTATGACTGTAGTGTAGTTGCATGTTTAGCCAGAGCTTAATGTCCTAAACTGGAGCTGACACAAATATTTTTAAAATGCAGCTTCAGCAACAGTTTCCAAGTTCTCCAGTATTTCAGAAGGAACAATCAAGGATTATCTCAAAGGTTCTTAGAGAAGTTATTTAGTTTTGTTGGAACAGGAGAGGGAGGGGGAGCCTATCACGAAATACTTACTTTGGCTTCCTTTCACAGATTATTATTAATTATACTGTAACAACTTTATCAGTTTCAAGTTGAGATACAAATATGGCTTGCTGGAAATATATTCTAGAAGGAAACTAGCTGCTTTAAGTTGCAGCTGGAAAATGCTTTGAAAACCTGTAGCTGCATGTCTTAAAGTGATAGGACTTGCAAAAGAAGGGCTTGCACATTAGTCTTGTTTTCCACTTCCTTTTGTGGTATGCAGGAACTGTTTCTAAAAAGAGGAGTAAGAAGTGTGCTTTAATAAATTGCTTTGTACTTTAGTCCCTCAGTCTTTATCCTTTTGTGATAAAATGCTGTTTTCTTTGCAGATAACAAAAATACCGATTATGCCAATTTCTATCAAGGTCTGTGGGACTGCACAGGAGATGTACCTGATGAGTTGACATTTAAACGTGGGGACGTTATCTACATTCTCAGCAAGGTATGGGATGCTACTGGGGCTACATAGTTGTAAAAAGCCGGCCATGCCAGAAGGGCACATTCCCACAGTTCTATGGGGGGAAACTGGCACTCCCTTTCAGATCCTTTGTTTACAATCAGATATTCACTGCAATTAATTACTTTGTCAAATGAACTATAATCGCATTTAAAACATAGCTGTGTAACAGGAATTGACTTAAAAGCATGTTTATTTACTTATTAAATCTTGGCTACCATTTGTTAACTGATTTAATGGGAGACAATGTGCTTTCTGCTTGTAAAAGTTAACCTTGTAGATTTTCAAATTATCTTGTATGTTACGTTTTTTGTTTCCTGTTTTATATTCCTGACTGTGCTGACTCTGACGTTTTGGGCATCTTGCTACAGAAGGTGGTCTGTTTTTTTGAACTATGCTTTCATCTTTGCATGTATATTGTAATTGTTCTGACAGCTCAGATTCCAAATTTGTTTGCGCTGACAGATTTGGGCAGTTTTTAATTCACCACTTTCCTGTTTGCAAAGCAATTGAGAAATGTAATTCCTCTCGTCTGAAGTGATGATAAGCAGTATAAGTATGAAATTTTATTCTACATTAATGTTGTTTAATTTTCTTATTTTTCCTTAACTGACCCCATTCCCCCCTCCCTCCTCCCGCAAAACCAAAACCTCCCCTAAAATAGAGATCAAAATCTCCCCCTAAAATAGAGGTCCATTGAAGTCTACTTCTGAACAATTCATCAAAGAAAACTTCTCTTTTCAAGTTCTCATTGGAAAAAAACCCACCTTTTAAAATATATGTAGAATACATATCACAGATGTAATTGCTGTTCAGTATAATTAATGCCAAAGATATCATAGGTCATTGAAATATACAAGTAGGTGCATGCAAGCTAAAGGCATCTGTCTCAGTTTCAAACTTTTCAGTTTTATCATGATTGCTTTAAATCTTCACTGATACCTTTAACTACAGTGTTTCCGGATAATAAATGTAACAGCTTCTGTTTTAAATAAATTTAAGATTTATGAATAGAAAGATGGTCCTATATAAAAATGTAGAAGATATATTACTAATGGTAATGTGACCATGTATGTCTTTAGAAGTATTTCATTGTCACTTAAATTAATAACTGCATTGCATCACTAAAGGCCGGATAACACTCTTGGATTAGGCAGACTTTCAAGCAGTTATACAGCATCTAATTTAAAATAACCACTTCTTCCTGCGCTCCCTCTCCCCCAAAAAAGCCCATGAACGGATTTTTTGCACTGTATGAGTTTGGCCTCTTTGTGGGTTGTACTTTTCTGGTTCTGGTTTGTGGACTATAAAATCTTAATCTTCAGTTTGTAGGTAAAAAAAATCATTTACTCCTTCTCCAAAAGAGCAAGAAATTTAATCTAAAATATGGAGCCAAATAGAAAAACAGTAGTTTAAGCTGTCCTCTGTATATCAACTGTCCTGTGGTCATGCCCTGATTAATCCGTAATCGGTCCTTGAAACAGGCTTGCTGCTGATCCAGATATATAGAGCCTCCCTTTCGGAATGATTTCTACTCCAAAATACAGCCCAGAAAATTCAGTCCCGTTTCACTTAAAGATTGTTACAGCTTTTTCAGAAAAATGATCGTTGGCCACTGCTGTCAGCTCTAAATTTAGGGTCCTTGGAGGGGAAAGTGCCAGAGAATTATCCATCTTAACCCTCCGCTTGATTCAGTTTCAAGGTCTGATCATTTACGAGCTCTTTGTCCGGTAAGTGGAAATATAACCAAAGGGAAAGTGAACCTAACCATTTTGAAGTGGGTCGAGACTTTTCTTCATGGAATATTCTCTAATCCACAACATTAATACTCGGATTTTGTGGCAGTCGGTAGGAAGCCTTGGCAATTCTTTTATTTTTTCACACCATCTAGTGGTTGAAAATGAGAGATGCAGGTACTGACAGGAGGCGATGTGAATGGATCCAAAATGGTGTCATAAATTCAGCTTCAGCTTGAACTCGGCTATGGCTTTATTGCCTTTCTATCATATGTCAGCCAGGCATGAACATTACTCTTGAAAATCACATTTTGCTGATAAGGAAGTGAGTATGGGTACAGCAGTATTATAGTAGGAAGGGTGAAGCATTAACAAAATAGCAAGTGTATTTGTGCAACATGTAATAGTTCTTTGTTTTACAATGAAATATAAAAGGTATAGCTTGCTCTGACGAATCTGATAAGATAGCAATAGGTGTGCCAAAGCAATATATTTTTACCTGCTTTCTCACATACCTTTCTGAGGGGAAAAGCGACACTTTTGTTCCAAGACATGAGATCATTAATACAACGGAAGTAATTCGGAACCAGTTGAGCAATTTGGGCATGGATAGAATTTAAATAAAGCAAGAGAAGCAATATGTTACATGTGTGTTTCTAGGTGAATTCCTTTTAGAAGAATGGGCGCAAGGTTTGAGATTGGCAACATTTGCGTCCTAAAATAGCTAAGCGTTATGCAAAGACAGATCCCCCCTAATTTGCTTTAAATCAAAATACAATGTTAGTGCAGTGAGCATGGTTTGCGTGCTTTTACTCTGATAATACAAATGTCGATGCCTGACTAGTGTAATTACTGTAGAAAAGCATGTTTTCCTTGTTTCACAGGTACATTAAAAAACTATTTTAGCTGTTTTTCTAAATCTTCATGTTAGTTGTTGCTTTTGTGTGGCATCAGTCCTATGGGCTCTTCCAAAAAAAAAAAAACCAAACCAAAAAACCCAAATGTTTTTTAATCTGAGCAGAATTAACAGAACTGTTGAAATAAGAATTGTTAGATTTTCTTTATTTATAAAAATAGTTAAATTTTCAGATTAATTGGTTAATGTGTCTGTACAGACAAACTTGTTGGTTATTGGTTTAATTCATAATATTCATGAGTACTATATGTATTATTGAATATATAAAAGTGGCTTTCATAACTTATACTGTGAATCATATGAACGTTCAGAAAACTCTATACCCCTCTCCTGCTATGCAGTAGGAAACATTTTATAGCCATACTGATAGAGGGACTCATTAATAAGATTTATTAGTTAATATTGACTTTTTAATTAATACTGACTATTAGAAATGTGATACTTGGGCTTCCTGTTTTCTAAAACGATTATTGCTCTTAACTCCCGTTCATTTATGGGCTTGCCTTTTTTTTCAACCCCATATGATAAATGGGGAAACAAACTGTGGCATAACAATCCTTTTATAAGTCTTTCATAGCTCTACTCAGAAAGTCAATCTTCAGAAACAAACACAACTGTGAGTGGAAATAGCTATATTATTATTCCTTTTGTTAAAGTTTGTATGCACAATTTATGCATGCAGCACTTCCAGTATTTGTTTGCTTTAGGTGCGTGTTTTGTGCTGGGAACTTCCCTAGTTTCATCAGCCAAATGCAAGTAGTAATGGAAATTAACTTATGTTAGCAGGTGACTAAAGTAAATGTAAAATTTATTTATGTTAGTATGCTTTACTTATGCTTAGTAAAATTACTTACATTTCTTAACTTTGAAGCTAATTTGATTTCCTTCTCATTTATATTTATATTTGCATTAAAACAATAAATAATACTTCAAAATCAGAAATTATATCTTAAGTGGGAATTCTCTTTCCCTTTTTAGTATTTCAGCACATGCTAGTGCAATATCATGCTGCTCACTCTTTTATTTATGATTCATGGAAATCATATCTATGACTTAACCCTTTGCTCTAGAGTTTTCCATACAAGCAGAGTGTTAACTCCATCTAGATTACTTTTATTCAGTGGTTGTACATTTCCTGTGTGGCAGATTTTTGTTCTTTCAATACAATAAACGTCTGTTAAAGTGCTCACATTTTACTAAGCAAAAATACAGGTTGAGCAAACAAACAAAATCTCCATACTTCAGATTACTGCTTATGAAGTAAAGCACACCTTAATGGTGCAGCTGTTTCATAATCAGTGTGAGCATTTTGTACATTATCTCTATAATCTTCATAAAATGTATTTATTTGGTATTTTTCAACATGGTGTGAAAGGCTATTTTTTGACAGATCATACTGAGATCCACATTTAATGGTAATTCCTCTTTCCATGACCATACTGCCTATGTCTACTCTAGCAAATAGGGAGTACCAATAGGAACGGATTTGCAGAGTGAAGCACTTAGTGCTGAGGCGCTGGTGTTCACACCGTGTGTTTTCAAAGGGCTTTGATGTCCAAAGAGGTCCAGCCTGGTTTAGTGAATGAGAACACATTAGTGATTGGAACATACTGAAGTGCATCTTTCATTTAGCTTCTGAAAAAAATGCAGCATGGGTCCTCTGAGACTGATGACTCTGTAAAGTGAGCCAAGGTGGGCAAAGTGGGATCACTGGGAGATTCACTTCAGTGGGATGCTTCTGATCAAAACTAAAATGCAATACAACGTACATTTCCTCCTTCTGGCTTGTTTAGGTATATTGCTTAAAGGGAAAGAAATAGGTATATGTTTAAACATCAGATAGGAGCAAAGGCTTTTAAATGGAAGGTTAGTTAGGACAGACTAATGCAAAGCGATTGTAGCTCTGTTGGTTTGTATCCTGATTATATGTAAGCACTTACCTAACTGATCTAAAAAAAATTCGCATTGTGCTATCTAATGGAAAATAAAATGGCCTTCTATCATTGAAGGTGTTTTCAGGGGCCAGTTTTGGTTCAGAATTCAGGCTACTTACCCTGATTTTATATTGGAACTCTTTAATTGGTGTCTATTTTGTCCCACGTCATTGCAGGAAGTAAAACCTAATAATACAACTGTACAATAAATCTATGACTTACATTCTTAAAGATGACCATTTTATTGCTGTCTTAAAACAACTCTACTACCTGTGAAGAAGTCTAATTCAGTTATCTAAAATGTTTGTCATTTTCTGCTTTTTAGAGGAGATGCTATTCTGTGGCAAAAATGCTCCCTGGTTGATAGTGTATCATCCAGCAATTACACCAAAGGAAGTTCTAAAACTTTGAACTAGTCTGAATCTCCTGGATGAATTGGAGATGTTTTAAAATATTATATTGCCAGAATTGCCCCCTAGGATATTCTTACTAAAAATAAAAAATTCTCCCTGCTTCCTGCACATCTTTAGCTTGATGGGAGAGGCCCCTTATTTTAACCCCAAACAGGCCTACAGATACATTTGCCTTTCAGTTTTAAAGTTTGCAGATCTTCAGCCAGTAAGTTTGTATTACTTATAGTGCCACTGGAAGAGAACAGGAGAAAAATTTTGAATTCACACACTTCAGTTGTGTTTCTTTAAATACAACTGCATTGTTTTCTTCAAGGCATTGAAACACAATGATGATTTTCAGCAACTTCTTTATAGAAACAAAACAAAAACTCCTACCCCACAAAACACAAAAACCATACCATATGTATTGAACAATAGGGACCAATTGCATAAGGACCAGATGTTCTCAACTTTTGCTGAAGTTAATATGGTGCGAAGCATCTGGAGATCCTCATTTGCACAGAGGATCTGTTCTAAAGGTAGAGACTGTTTTGGAAATCCCCATGAGTGTAAAAATTTTATCTTCTTGCATATCAAAATTCTCTTCTGCATAGTATAGAAATTGTGGACTTAAAAGGTATCTGTAAAAAGCAGGTAGTGTATTTCTACCTTACTGTGATTTCCCCAAGCGCAAAAACTTTTACGATCCATGTCTCATGGAGTCACACACATACGTATCGGTGCAGGGAAATTGGTGGGATGGGGACACGAAGCAGCATCTGCTCACAGTGTGTTCAGTTGAGAGCATTTCAAGAGCCTGTAAACCCTGATGGGATTGTTTTTCCCCTGCTATCATAGTGCTCTGTACAGAGTGTTTTGCCAGCACGTTAAAAGTTGTTAACCTGTTCCTTGCTGCACTGTGGAATTACTTCACTTTGGTTAATAAATTTCTGCTTAAGGGGAAGGAAAGTAAATCCACTCTGACAGACAGTGGAAGTAGCTGAGAAAGCACTTGGTCATTGTTAAGGTGGTTGTTTTGTGTTATTTGGCATAATATATTCCTTTGCCCTGGTGCTTGTCTTCCAGGGGTTGCGGTGGCCCCTTCCTCCCCCTGCCTCTGCCTAACATTGCCTGGTATGGCAAATGTGCTCCCAGTCACATGGCAGAGCCCCGGCCGCACACTTGTGCATTCTCCTCATTGCAGGGCTGCTGGATCTGGCCCTGCCCCCCTCTCCTATCCCTCTATTTGCCTTGGAGCAATTCATTTTGCAGTTATTGAATTTCTTTGGAGAGTTATTTTCATACAGCGAGCATCACAGCACCTCTGGATCTTGATAGCATTTCTACATACAGAGAAAGAAGCTTTGTGTTAGTAATTACCTAACATTGTCAGGAGCTGACTGCAGGCCTCTTTCTAGTGATAACAGAATAACCACATAATGTAGCTTTATAGCACATGATTAATAGAAAATAATTACACATCCTACAAAGGGATGCAATATTTCTTATAAATTGACTACAATGGTTCCTTAGATTAAAGGACTCTTCATTATTTTATCAGTCCTTCTGAAGTATAGTCGCTTGCCTATGTTAGCAGTGATGTTAAAACTGAATGCGGTGAAGGATACCAGATGGTAAACTCAGGGGTACCTGAGATCTGAAGCTGATGCTTGCAAAAGCACTGTGATTCCCAACTCTTAAGAATTCATATAAAACTCCAAACTGTACTCGTATCCTTATGTGCATTATTCATCCTTTCCCACAAATGTGGGCTTTAGGGTTTTATTCTACACATCTTAAACAGCAGTAACAGGCATATGGACCTCACAACAGCAGTGTAATAATTAAATTATATTGCTATAAAGCAGTTTATAGTTGCTAATGTTGATAGAAACAATACATCAATTTGGATTTTATATGTGACTTCAAAAAAGGAATGGTGGTGATGGCAGGGAGACTGCTTATCTGCCTGACCAGTAAGCACTTTTTTGTGGTACTGAGGACGGAAAGGAGTGGTTAGGAGTTTAAAGAGAAATGTCTGTACTTTAATCAGTCTGAAAAGGAGTGCTATCTAATTATTCTAAACCCTGAGATTAAAGTTTTATGTTCTTGGTAGCGAGGTATCTGCATTATATTTTTGTTTGGGCTTCTACAGTCTGCAGATAGTTTAATTGGGATTCATGTTGCTCTTGAGACCCATGCAAAGAATAGTAATGTAAAGTAAAAGCTTCTGTGTTGCAGTATTGTCTGTATGGTGTAATGCTTGCAATGAATCCTTAAATTCGTTTACTAGTCTGTTACATCAACATCCATTTCATCTTCTCGCTTAGCTTCATGCCAGAGCAGTAAGTGGTGTATTAGTAAGTAGCAAAACCCAGAAAGTTTTCAAAACAGCAGCATGCTTTTAATTTTAATTTGAGGTATCTGAATTGTTTCTTTAAAAACAATTGTTTCTAAGTTCATGTCGTGTTGCTAAGTGGAACATTTTCAATGGATAATGTAGTCTACAGGCTTTTTCTGTGCCATTTGTCATATGCAATTTAATGACTGCTTAACTAAGCCACTTCCCTCATTTCATGTATTGTTTGTTTTTTTGGCTGATGTCTAGCAAAACTTGCTTAATCACTTTTGTCAGTCACTTCATGAGTTCCATGTAACAGCTTAAGATCTTTTGTTGCTTTCTCTTGGAGAGATTTATTGCTGAGATTCCAGTAGTATACGTGAGTACTGCTCCCTTCAGCAATTTCCCACTTCAGTTTAGAAAACCAGTTTGTGTATATAACCAGTGCATTGTGAGATAAACCACAGATCTTAAAACAAGCTGATCAGGAACATTATAAACCTCAGTGTCAGGTTATTATTTAGCCTTGAAGGATTTGGGGTGCAAAGTGTACTCCATGGGAAAAGTTATGAGGAGTTCTTAACTTCTACGAAGAGCAGTTTGCACTGAAGATCAGGTCCAGATACCTCTAGACTTTCAGACCAGCCCCAGTCCCAGCAGTCTGTTTGGCAGTGGAAGGGGGAAGAAGGTGGAGTTATTTTTGCAGCTTTCTCATTTGTATGTTCGCATCAAAACCAGAGGTTTTCCTGCTGCTTTTTCATGTGGATTTTCTTTTCTTACCGCTTACTGCAGTATTTTATGGGTAGTAGGATACAATATGTTAAATCGCCAGTTCACTATGAAGAGAGGGAAGAAAATGTTTAATTTAAGACTGGTGTTCAGCCTTCCACAATAAGTAAATATAAAAGTGTGTGTGTGCCTGCATGCAAGCGCGTTTAAAGCAAATAAAAAGGCAAAAAACCCCCCTACAAAACACAAAAACCCCTGAGCCCACGTGAAAGTGGGCCATCAGCAGGGCTTCATTGTAGTTAAGCACAGGGAGAGCTGAGTACACTAAGCACCTCATAGCACCCTAGAGAACTCTCTACCCAGCCAAATATGCCAGCAGCAAATCATTATAGCTCGGGCTCTAATGAAACTCCATTAACCCTTAAGCTCCACTTGACTATTTATAACCAAAAAACTTTATCTACAGCCAAAATAATAGCTTCATCTCCGTGGGACCATTAATTCAAAATCCTACAGCCTTTTGCTTTTCTCATTGGAAGAGCAGCGTAGCAGCAAGCAGATGTTGCTTACCAGAGATATCTGTGTATTTTGTATTTTCCGTGTTTGTTCCAAAGTAATTTCTGTCTTACTAATCATTCAATTTTGAATGGGGTCTCTGTTTTAATAATGCTTCATTTGTAACTCAATATATGTGTGTGTGCAATTTCAGCTGTTACAATTTATTGAACTGCTGTTAGGATTGATCTTAAAATATTTACCTCTTAGGGAAAAAATTAAATTTGGATCCCACAATACTTGGTATTGCTTTTGGAAGATATTACTTCTTTAAACTATTATAATTTATTTTGTTTCATATTTATCTCACTAAGCCTAAACAAATTTCAAACAAAAGTACATTAGTCATCTGTCAGACATATGAGATCTGCTGTAGAATTTTCTGCAAGCCTAAAGCAAGGGTAGACTTTGACCATAGAAAGAGATTATGTAGTAGACACATAGCGTTCCCTTCACATCTGAGTGAAGTAGCTTTTAAAATAAAGTTGATTGCAAGTTTCTCAGAGTTTAGCCTTGTGGTACTAAAAGGATCCCAGTTGATTCTTATAGGTCAACATTGCGCTATAGCTTCAAAGATAAGGTTTTCTGTTGGTGATGAATAGAGGATAGAGGTCAGCTATTTTTAGTAGGTGTTATAGAGAAGCGTGGCTGTAATTAAGACATTTTCCTGAGCATGCCTGGCCTTCTTAAAACTTCTGCGTTTGCCTAGCAGTGCATGTGAATGCCTCCAACAGAAAGATACAATGTTTTAATTTTCAGTTGAAATGATTATAACTGTATATAAGAGAAAGCATCCATAAGGAGTTGCATACAAAACTCTATTGCATTTATATCAGACTAAAGGTTAATATTGCATATTGTTTTCAATTAGGAGTACAATAGATTTGGCTGGTGGGTAGGAGAAATGAAGGGAACCATTGGCTTGGTGCCTAAAGCCTACATAATGGAGATGTATGATATTTGAGAGGCCTGGGTAAGTACATTTTAATCCAATCTTCTGTAATGGCTTATATGTTCCCTTGTTCTCTGTTTCATAAGTATTTCATTCCTGGAACCTTTGCAGGAGTCCTGTTAACATAAAGATTATGGCAAAATATATTGAAGGTTCAATTAAAGCACTTTTTCTTGATCTGTATGAAATATGAAACCACAGTGTACAAAAGATGATGTATTTTATAACTATGTTCCTTTTCCAGATTTTTTTTTTCAGTAGAATTCATGTGCTTTGTAGTTTTATTACTTTAGTATACATGCATGTATCTGTGCAGAAAACTGTGGAAGGGGATAGATATTTGGTCTGGGTTTGACATGTGTGCTTGAAGTTTTCTGTTTAATGATGAACTCTCAACTTCCTTCTTCCTAATCAGGAGAAATCTGCACTTGGGAGTCGTGTGCAGCTGCAGTTTACAGACCCAGCCTCCAAAAGAAGAAGATTCTGCCGTACACGTTCTGTGGTTTCAGTGAATGTAGTCAGATCGTTGCCTTGTGTATTTTAAGCATTAAAAACTGTAATTGATGATAATTCTGAGGAAATGTTCTTCTTCATCACTTTTCATGGAATTGTAGTGCAAGGAAATGAAGTAGATGGTAATTAACATATGGGGCACAAACAGCCAAATCGTGCCTGTTGCCTTTTCCTTCAGCATACTAGCAGCACTCTGCATAGCGATGGGTTTGAGTTCTTTCAGGGAATTTCCTCAGATTTAGAAAAAATAATCTGAACTTTGAAAGTAGAAAACTGCTACTCAGTTCATGCATGCATTAACCTTTTAATGCTCACTGTACATTTTGTGTGGTTTCCTAGAAGAATCAAGCAAAATTTACGTGTAATATTGCAAGTCTTCAGGGTATTTTGTTTCCACATGTTCTTGTATTTTGCTTTAGCCAATGATTTATTTTTCTCATATATTCAGTATTGCATTGTTAATTATTATTTTGTTACCACAAAATGAAGCCTTGGCTCTTTTGCTGGTAGTAAATCAGCCTGCGTGGTAATGCTGCCCTGATACCATTCTCACTTGGAGATAGGAGTGATGTGAAAATTTATAAAAATCAGAACATATTAAACCCCACAATTTTTGCTTAGTCAACATGAACCAAATGGCAGCTAAGAATGATTTTTATCTGTGGTAGTGTAAGCTATTTTCTCCATACCTTATAGATACTTTCACAAAATCTGGGTACCTTGTTGATAGGTGGAATTTCTGATATAAGTTGTGTGCAGCAGACATCTTCAGCTCTACGTGGATTATTAATAGCTTCCAGTGTCAAACCCAGCTCTTTGTGGCTAAAAGCACCAGTTTAAACATAAAAAAGAACAGTAGAATACTGTCACTTGTGGGTGAGGGGTTGGGCAAGTCAGAGTTAATACTTTAAATGCTCTTGTTTTGGAGATGGGCTTTGCTATTAGCAGGCAAGATCAACTTTTTTGAGTCCTCCCACACACTTGATTTGTGAGACCCTTAATCTGCCAACGAGGCAGGTCAAGCCAGTCTGCGAACCGCTGAGCCTATGCAGGTCCCCCTGTAGTTGCTTGTGCTGTTTACGCTTCAGGCGGGCCCTGCAAACACTGTGGGTTAAAAGGTAACGTTAGTCTGAAGTCGGAATTAGATCCTTTCAGTAAACTGAGATGTTGTGCTTTATGTTAGCTAATGTATGGTACTTGATGGTACGCTGGATTCTAATAGGAGTCAGACAAGGTACAAAGTCTCGCGGTAATTTTTTAAAAGAAGAGATAGTCGTTGAAATTGATTCTGTGTGTTATCAGTGAAGCATTAAAATGATAGATTATGGTCTTCAGATCTTTTACTACTTTAATTTATCAAGTGTACTTGTGGATTGTGTACAGAATGCGAAGCGTTAATATCACGGCTAGAAAACCTCCTTCTCTCTTGTTAACATGGCAGTATAATAAATCTGCCGGCCAAAATGTCTTTGCATTAATTACGTAATTCCCAATTCCACCACCACCACCTACTCTTTTGGAGTAAACCCCCTCCTGCCGTTGAGACGGGAAACTCGATATGGGACAGGAGCGATGAGGGGATACCGGTGCCGGGTGCGAAGCTGGAGGTGGTAGGGGAGTCCCAGCGCTACCGGTGCCCGGAAGAAGGGAAGGGGCTGCCCTGCGCGCTACGCGCTGCCCTGCGCACCCGCGGCAGTAGGTGGCAGCAAGTTTTCATATCACAGGAGGAGGAGGAGGATGATGATGATGACTATGATGAGGAGGAGGAGCCCGCCCCTTCCCGCTTCCGCCACTTCTGCCGTTTCTCCAGGAGAGGGAGTCCTTACCCAAGCGATGGGTATGGGGCCGGCCCGGAGCCTTCTCCCCTGGGTGGTGGCAGCCGGAGAAATAAAGTGTCTTTTGTCTGTAGTTCTTTAGGGCTCCCCCCACTCCCTTAGGACATATATATGTGTGGCTGTAAACAAACTGCCTTAAAATCCAAAATGTGAAAGATGTCCTGAAACTCACTTGAAGTGTCTGGGTATAAACCAGCAGTGGACCATGGATGAATTGGTTACTTGAAATCTGTGCAAATACCATAATCTTTTTTGGGTAAGAAAACCTTGGTGAATACAACTTAAACAAAACCTAGTGGTACAAAATGCTAATTGCTTTATTTTCATTGTTTACTAAGGTTGCGCTTGCCTTTGCGTGAACAGTAAGCAAATTTTTTTTGAGGTGATTGCAAGTCATATGCCGTACAGCGTTTTACTTGGTTATTTGCTCTGTTCTGGATTTGTACTATACTGCCATTAGATCTTACAATAATGTTCAACTCTGCAGATTTTTAAGGTTCAAATAAAGTTTAATTGTTTGCAAACTGTTATGATGCTAATAATTCAACAGCCTGCTGTGTTACTAATGAAATTACTTTGTTATGATTAATTTGGAAAATAGTGTGTTGATTGTAGTAATTAAGCACAACAAGGTGAAGTAAATGATTCTAATGCCATCTGGCCTCCAGACTGAATGAAGAAATGAAATGGGGCTGTCATTTGAATTTATTCGGAGAAGTAAGGGTAATACGAATGCTTTTTATAGCAATTGCACCCAGATATAATCATGCCACTCTGTAGTATTTTTTCCATGTACTTCTACATACAGATAACCAGTTCATGCATTTTTCCAGCATCCAGTTAGGATATACCTCTTTGTGCATGCTGCCACTAATTGCATGTACTGATGGTAGTGCATGTGCTGGTTCTTCCATCATAGAGATGTATGGATGAGATTTAGCGAAGCGATGTATGTTGGTGTACCTTTTGCTCCTCTTAATGATAAAAACTTTCTTTGACTGGAATTAAGCTGAATGTAAATGCTGATTAAGATCCTATTCTATATTCAAAGCCAAATGCATAAAATTTGTTCTTTTTGGCTCTGCATTCTGAGTATGACACAGCATTAGAAGGAGTGTAAAGAATAACCCTTTAGAACCTGATCCAAAGACTGTTGAAACTGAGAAGCTATTGAATTTGCTTGCTTCTGCATCAGGCTCTCAAAACAGTAACTCAAAACCAGGCAATACAATTTCAAAGTGCCTTTTGCTGAATATTCTGTGTTCTTTTTCTGAAAGAGATGCAATTATTTCTGTAAGATGGACTAAACAAAAGAAAGGCACTGACTTCTCTACAGCTGAATGATAGAAATCCATTTTTTTATCTCAGGTAAATCAAAATGAAGTTATGTCTGTAGATCCGAGTCCTGGCTTGATAAAGTTCATTGGGATCTGTAGGAAAGCTATAAAATATTAAAATGTGATGAAAGTAACCAGGTCGATGACAGTGGTGTGCTCTTCAGCGCCATGAGCCATTTGATGTTTCTCTCATCTCTCTCTGTCAAGTTGATGAAAAATTTATTAGTGTGTAACTGTGGGAATAAGTGTATGCGTGGAAACCTTATAAACAACTTTCCACTTTACATACCACAACGTACTGATAAACTCGTAGGACCTTCTCTTACCAAGGTTTCTCTGAGGCTGACATTTCTCAGACAAGTGCCTACTTCATTCCATCTTTATTTAGAAAAACTGACACTGAGCTCAGTAAAGAGTGCTCTGCCAAACCTGCGTCTCTGTTTTAGAGTTCGTTTCCTGGCCAGCATCCTGTGTCGGAGTGAGAGGGACCAGCACCAACCAACATAAGACTATGGACTTAACTTTGTGGATTCAAACTGGGTATTTTGTGTTTCTGGGATGAAATCGCTTTGTGTGATGTGGATGTGATTTGGCTAGTCTCTTCTTGCTCCAGGAAGAAGGGAGGCTGGGAGGATGACAGGATATGCAGGTCAAAGGGATGCTGCTTTTCTTATCCAATTGTGTTGTGCCCAGGAATGTGTACAGATAGACATATATACATATTTGTATATGTATATTGATATTTTCCCTTTAAATTGTGGAGCAGATCAGGCAGTGATAAGCCCTGAATTGCTATGTCATAGCCTTTTATGGATTTGTTTAGGAGAAATTTTGTAATGGGATCTAGACAATTCTGTTTCTGCTGCCTGGAACTTTCCTTAGTCCAAACCACCACACAGAAGTTCACAGCAAGCTGGGTTGAAAGCAGAATACAAGGAAAACCGCTGCACCTGAAAGCTATGCCAACATGAGTCAAATTTAAAACTGAAATGTCAGGTTCTTCCCAGCCTCCTGGGAGGAGCAAGTCTTTCAATTAATAGGAAAAACTGAAAAAATCCAAGGTGTCATCTTGTAGCAATGTGTGGGAGAATAAAGTACAACAGAGCAGGCAGTCTGAGAAGAGCTGCTGGTAGATGAGGACACAGATAGTTTCAAATGCCACTAACATACATTCTATCTCTATTAATTTTCTGCTGTAGCAAACTGATGTCTCAGAGCTTTTATCCTAAAGTAGCCTCAGTGTCTCACAGACCATAGAACAAACTTCCTTTTACCCTCTATTGTAAAGCAAGTGCTACTCCATAAAGATATTTGATGGCTAATGAGCATTTTACAGCAAGACTTTAAAGTTTATGCTTTGAGATGAAAAAAATATGAAAAATTCCATGTTGTTACAGTGGGAGCATTTATGTTGGCAGAATAGAATTAGTAGTGTGGCCGCTTCCAGCCTGCTGTAATCTCTCGTATATTTGTAAAGAGTGCCGTGTTTTTTTTAGCTTCCATAGGCAACCAGGGTTTTAGTTTTACACCTCATGTTACAAGGCAGGGTACGTAGCACCACAGAACTGACCCTCGTGCAGAAGTGCCTGGGTTAAAGGGAAAAAAAGGTATTACACAGGATCATTATCAATCTTTCAAACGCCAGCAGCATGGAAGTGTGCCTTGGCAGTCTCCCACCCAAGAGCTGACATGGCCCAATGCTGCTTTTTAATAGTCAAATCTAATAGGGTCAGCATGAGAAGAGCAGAGCGCAGACAGTCTGACAGGCGTGGGCAACTCAGTTTATTCACTGTCGGTCTTCAGCCTCGGCGACTTATTTCACTTTGGAAGGGAAAAGATGAAATCTGTAAACAGTCACGTGGCATCAGGGAAGCAGAGGGACCGT